TGACCAATTGTTTCATCTTTCCTATTTTTGATCCCACCACACAAACTGATTCTCTTTCTCTGTGTCTCTCTCCCTCTCTCCCCCTCCCTCCCTCCCTCCCTCCCTTCCTTCTCCCTCTCCTCCACAGACCTCAGACCTGCAATGCAATTGCAAAAGCAATGCTCTCACAGGTATTTTCCCCATCTTGGTGTTTACATCTTGGAGAACCCAAACTAACACAAAAATCTTGAAGGATGTAGAGACTTCTGCTCTGTCACTGAAACCACTCTTAACGAATAGCAATAACCTAATTATCAAGGTCCAATAGTCTTTTCTTGGGCCTTGGCTACCACTCCTGGCACAATAGCTCACTTGAAACCTTGGCTCCTTTGTTTTCCTCAAAGTGAGTGTTGCTAGCACCTTGATCATGGACTTACAGCCTCTATAGCTGTGAAAAAATAAGTTCTTGTTTAAGCCACCTAGTCCGTGGTATTTTTTTACAGCAGCCCTAGCAGACTAATACAGTGGGTTAACCTGGACCTCCACCTGGCCCCATTCCTTTGTCAGTTCTTTCTCCCATGGTCAGAAGTCTGATATGAGTTTTAAGGGGCTTTAAAGTCAGTGTGTTGGCAGGACTGGTTCCTTCCGGAAGCTCTAGGGGAGATTTGGAAAAAAATAAAAGAGTGATGTAATGTCATGGAGACCTGGGGGAGGGTTCCCCTTGAGGAGGTGACATGTGAGTTAAGCCCTGAATGAGGAGGAGCCACCCACTTGAAGAGCTGAGGGAAGAGCCGGAGCAAGAGCCCTGAGGTGGAAACGAGCTTAGTGTGTTGGTTTCCTGTTGCTGCTGTAACAAATTGCCACACACTTACTTGCTTGAAATACCACAAATTTATAAACAGATGGAACTGTTCATTTATTTGTTTCATTCTTTAATTCCTTCGTTTAACTCCTTCCAGAATATGAAGGCATGGGAATTGTAGGTCTTATTTCCAGCTGTATCCTTAGAATCTAAAGCACTGAGATCTAACATTTCTTGGATAATTCTCTAACTCAATGCAAAAATAGTTGAATAAATGGAGGTACAGCTACTCGATGTGATATAAAATTTAGTGAGAATGTTTATGATGTGTTAAATGAAAAAAATGCATAATACAAAATTGTACATACTCGTAAGATATAAAATAAATATTCAGGCATACCTTGTTATATTGTTTTTGCTTTATTGCATTTCACAGATATAGCATTTTTTACAAATTAATGGCAAGACTCTCCACCAATAAAAAGACCACAACCCTCTTTATTGCCATACTCCCTTTATTGAGATACTTGCTTGATTACATATTTGGTCTAGAACCAAACCCTCAACATCTCCAAGGTATGCCTGTACAGAGAAAGATGACTGAAAGAAAATACCTCAAAATGTTAATAGTGTTTGCTTCAGAATTGTAGATTTTTGTCTCCTCCTTTCCTTTATTTTTATTTTCTGCATTTCCATATTTTCTGTAATGAGCATGTATTACTTTTCCACCCGAGCTTTACTGGGTATAAGTGGAGCATGTATTACTTTTTACATATCTGTGGCTATTGGTTAGACATAATCTATCAGGTAATGGCTATCTCCTTCCCAAGTGTCTCCCGACTCTCCTCCCTTCAGTCCCCACCAAGAAGCAATCTCGAACTCTAAGACATTCTTATAGCTATCTGGAGGCAGAGGTCACATTTTGTTTTCTGTAATAGTTATTTGGGAACTTGTCATATCTCCCTGTCCACTCTGCTCCCTGAGGGCAGTGGCCTTCTGTATTCATCTCTGTATTCCTATGGTATTTCTTCGCCCTTGGGGCTATACTTCAAACACGCTGCCAAACATACTGCTCGTTATATTAAGCTATCAAGTCTCTCTACTAATTAAGACTTTGCTCTCCCATAATCTAGTGAGGCTAGACTAACCTAATGTGGTACATAAACCACACCTTGCCCAAATCCATCCAATGGTTCCCCATCTTACTCAAAAGAAAAGCCAAAGGCCCTATGCAATTAATTGCTTGCTTCTTTGCTCTAGCCATGCTGGCCTGTCACTGTGCCTGTAACATTCTTCCCCAGAGGTCCCCCTGGCCAGCTCCCCCAATTTCTTTTTTTTCTACTTAAATATCACGCTACTAGAGAGGTCTTCTGTGCCTACCCCTATAAAAAAGCAACTATTCCTGCCCACAAGTTTGCACCCTTCCCACACACATTCTCTTTATTTTTCTCCATAGCACTTATCATCTTTAAGCATATTAATTATTTATTATGTGGTCCTCCCCCAATCTAAGCACTATGAGTGAGAGCATAAACCTTATATACTGCTGCTTCCCCAGGGCCTAAAACAGTGCCTGCTATATAGCACACACTCAATAAATATTTTTTGAATGAATGAATTACTGAGAGTACTAAATGAATGAATAAATGAGTGAACGAATAAATGCATGAATGGAGGGATGGATAGGAAGTCCTGTAGGAGGCAGGAAGGAGAAGGATGGCCCTGTAGGAGGAAGTCCTGTAGGAGGCAGGAAGGAGAAGGAAGTAGTTAGTTTCAGCAGTGATAAAAGGCATCTACTTCTCTATAACTGCAGGGGTAGTCCAGAGATAAGAAATAAGAAATTGTGTTACTCTTACAAACTGAAAGGGATGAAGTCAAAGGGTGATGAAGCTAGACTTGACCTCAAAGGAACTAGTGAGAAGATATGAAGCCAGGGAGGAGAGAGCGGGATGACTTAGGGTAGAGAAGTATTCTCTACATTGTTCCTTTCCCAAGGCAGTCTCTACGGTTGCATAGCAATCAGGGGAGAGCATTCTATATAAAATATTAAGGGGAAAGATAAAGTGGATATCACTGCTAATTAAGAGGTATTAAACATGCTTTCAGAAATCACATGAAAGGAGATTATTGGAAAGGAGGGGGACCTGACATTTAGAAAGTTGCCCCTCATAACTAATTGCTATGGTCTGAATGTTTGCGTGCCACCAAAAGTCACATGTTGAAATCCTAAAGCCCAATGTGATGGTATGTGGAGGTGGGGGCTTTGGGAGGTGCTTAGGTCATGAGGGTGGAGCCCTTGTGAATGGGCTTAGCACTCTTATAAGAGACCCCCACAGGGCTTCTAGTCCATCAAAGGGAAGACAGAGCAAAAAGACAGGGGGTCTATGAACCAGGAAGTAGTCTCTCAAATCTGCCACTGCCTTGATCTTAGACTTCCCAGCCTTTAGAACTATAAGAAGTAAATTTCTGTTGCTGATAACTACCCAGTCCTGGATGGACTAAGGCACCACTGCAGTCAGGCACATTCTTAATGAACCCTCATCAAGGCTGTGTGGTTCTTTGCTATTTTTCTTCCGCTATGAATGAGAGCAATGCCTAGCAAAAGCATTCTGAAGAGATCCCTCACTTTCTTCCTGAACAGAGAGCTATCTATAGCACACTCAAAATATTCTGCATGCAAATAAGATTGCACTGGGCAAAAATTCACTCTCTTGCCGTTGTCAAAGTGATCATGTTCATGGCAGTCTGCTGAGAGAAAATGGTAAATAGAAAGGGAAACAAAATACCAAATAATGACAACAGAGAACAATTATGTAATATTACATCAGAAGTCTCTAAAACATTTATTTTACAGATTATAGAAGTAACACTATTTTCTAAGCAGAATTATGTGGTCCTAAAAAATAAAATACAAAATCAGTTCTCAAAGAGAAAATAAAAATATAACATATTTATATGATAAAAATTAATAAATTTTATCTCAAAATAGCCACATGAAATAGGCAGATCAGGGACCTCAGATGAGATCACACAGCTAGTGAGAGGTGGTGCCTGGCTCTCAAACCCCAAGTCCCCCAACTGCAGCGAAACACTGCAAGTCGGGGAGGGGAACACTAACATGCCCAGCATCGCCTGGTCTCTGAGCAGCCAAAACACGAGAGTGATGTTCCAGTATGGGGAAATAAGAAAGTGTTCTTTGTGTAGCAAGTGGATCCAAGGGAAGGACACCCCATAAGACTTTCAAAAAGGCCTTAACAAAGGATCTAAATAAGGGTACTTCAAAAAATCAATTCACCACACAATTGAGAAAATGCTGTACCAGTCACAGAACTGTGCTGGGGGCCAAAAGTCAGAATAAGCACAAGCACTCTTATCCTTGCTCTCTCCCACCCCCATCTCACCCCCAAATCAGGATTTCCATTCTGTTCTCTAAGGACCTTGAAAACAAACAAACTTGCTTCTTCTGGAACAAGTCACTTCTCCTGTGCAGAAGAAGCCAGTTGGATTTCATGGCCTCTAAAATACCTACTACCATCAAAATACTTTCATTGCCCAGAAAGGGGATAGTTGTTTTTTCTAATTCCACTAATCTTATTTCTATCTCAACATCTCTACCCACACTTCATTGTGCTAGCCTATTTCCTTCCCTGAGCCTGCTGGAATGCTTTTGAATGCCTTTCATGCTCCTCTCCAAACACCCACAGTTTACCCTTCCTTTCAACGCAGCTCAAATGTCCGCTCTCATCTGTGCCACTGCTCCACTAGCCTGCAAGGCCTTTTCTTCTCCAATAATATTGTGTGTATTTTCTCTCAGACTCTCTGGAGCGCATGGGCTGTTTTGTGTCTCTCACCTGCCTTACTCTGCTGCAGTACCCAAAAGCTTACTGGACTCTTGCCAGATGTGCTGTTGACAGGCACAGGGCAGGGACCAGGCCTCTCCTATTCACTGCCACGCCTAGAATCCAGCAGAGTGTTGGCTCCTAGTACAAATAAATATTAATTTGATTTGACAGTCATAAAATGTTGCTTAGCAATTCTAGATACCTAACTTCTCACTTCCTGTTCCCTTGAGAGCCCTGTTACTAAGAGACTCATGGCTGTAAGTCCCTGATGCTAATAACTGACCTGATATTTACTAGACCCCAATATTATCACAAGCTGGTCTCACACTCAGAGCCAGGCCATTTTGTTTTCCTGTTGGACAGAAACATTCTTGAATAACAGCCTCAGACAAAGTGCTACAGACTGAATGTTTGTGTCTTCTTAAAATTCTTATGTTGAAACCTAATCTCCAATGTGATAGTACTTGGAGTTGGGGCCTTTGGGAGGTGATTGGGTCATAAGGACAGAGCCCTCATGAATGGAATTGTTCCCTTATAATAGTGGCCCCAGAGACTTCCCTTGATCCTTCTGCCATGTGAGGACAGAGCCAAAAGACAGAGCTTTATCAACCAGAAAGTGGGCTCTCACCAGACACCAAACCTGCTACAACCTTGGACTCCCCAGCCTACAGAACTGTGAGAAATAAATTTCTGCTGTTTATAAGTCACACAACTTATGGTATTTTGTTATAGCAGCTCAAACAGAAAAAGACACAAGTTCATTCTGAAACCATGATAAAAAGCAAAACAAAGCCAAATCATAATTTTGTCTAAGAACAGACAAAATAAGGTCACTGTGCCACTACAAAATACCCAATCATAGAACTGCTCCCACTTTGATAGCATCCAACTCAGAGCAAAACCACACTTCCTTAGTCCCTTTCCCAAATCATCTAACCAAAGCCTAATTCCTATAGGTTTTAATATCCTCTTACTAAGACATCTTACTTCAATGAGTAATAAACCAACTTATTTAACTGCACAGGTGTTTCTAGTGGCCTTTGGCTGAAATGCACTATAGGTAGTCATTTCACATTTCTTGATAACCACAAATATCTTAGGAGTAAGTAACAGTATTCTCAATATATACTGTTAACCAAAGAAGAGATTCAGGCTTTAATGAAGAACAAAAAGCACTTATTTGAGCAAAGGACAGCAGTCCTTAGACTCATAGTCAGGGAGCAGCCCAAACTGCACCCTGGAGAGAACAAAGAAAGGCATGATTTAGAAAGGCAAAAACTGAAAAGTGTAAGTCAGGCAAATGAAGGACTGCTGGCTAGGTTAACAGGGATTGGGGCGTTCCGATATGCAAATGAGGGGGATGAAAACTACCAGGACCATATATGTCCATACAACACTTGTTTGTTCCAGGATATTTATGGTTCATCCTTGAGCTGAGTTCAGCAACAAGTTTCACAATGTAATAGCAGCTCTGAGAACAGAAGCAGGAGATCTGCTATAGGCCCTTCTATTAATCACTTAAAATAGCCTCCTGACTATTTTAAGTAACTCTCAGCAATGTTTATTCCATTTTATTTTTTTCCATTATTAACACTCAGGGAAACTGAGGCTGAAAGAGGTAAGCTGATTTAGCAGAGATCCTACAAAGGGACTTCTAGGCCCTGGTAACTTAATTAAGGGTCAGTCCAAGCTGTTTTCACAACACCTAGATGTCCTCAGCCATGCAAAATCTTAGTTTGCTTCCTTTATCTTAGCAGTGAAGTCAAACATCAGAAACGAAATCCCACCGGGAACATTTATCTTGAGAAGCTTTTGAAAGGAAGCTGAACTCTACAGTGAAAGTGTGTGGTCCAATCTGGGTAGTAGGTAAACAGGTGTCCATTGTATTATTCTGTATACCTATTTGTGTCTATAAATATTTCACAAAATTTTAGTAAGTATAATGAACTGAAAACAAAGCCCCGGGAAGACGCAGGAGTTGCCTACGTGATGCTAGATGCCTCAAGCCTTTTCTACTTCCTGGATGAAGGGATGAAAGCAGCAACAAACAGGATCCGGACTCATTAACCAAGATAATATTTAAAGCAATATTTTAAAAAATCAAATCTGCGAACTAGGACTCAAGGGCTGGTGCCTGTTTTCAAACATAAAGCTTTATCGTAAATTCCAACAAGCACCTGTACACACACCCTCCAGCGTTCTTAAATAACAAGTGGCCTTACGGGTGTCCGTCGCTGGTAGCCTCTACCCCTACCCCACCCTAAAAAAGAGACTTGTTCCAAAGGCGCTGAAGAGGAGAGGGAGATAATTTCGCAGCAGGCTGCTAGGGAGTCTCCGAGATAACGGAGAGCAGGTGCGAAGGGTGCAGCCGCGCCAGTTCCGCAGAGCGGCCTCCTGCCACTCCACCTGGCCAAGGCGTGGAGGGCTGCGGCTTTAAACCCGGAGGCTCGGCCGTTGCCCAGGGAGACGGACGCACAGCGCGGCGCGCACAGCAACGTGGGCCCTGCGCGGAGGCCGCGGCCACAGGACGAGCGCCAACCCTGCTTTTGCTCCCCGCCATGGATGACTTGCACTCGGGTCGCAGCGTCAGAAAGTCCGAGAAGGAAGAGGGCCAGGAGGGGGCGGAGGAGGAAGTGAAGGTGGAAGAGGAGGGGCAGGGGGAGGAGGAGGAGGAGGAGGAGAGTGGGCAGGAGTCCTATGGGACGTTCAGCGATGAGTACCTCTGGGAGACGATGGACATCGATGACAGCCGCATGGAGGACTCGAAGGCTGACGGCACCCGCTTTATCAGCGTCGTGAGCCCCAGCCTGAGCCCGACGCTGCCGCTCACCCAGACCCCGAGCACGAGCATCAGCAAGACCTCGTCCTCCAGCAAGACCTCGTCCTCCAGCACCTCCTCCCAGAAAAGTACCGCCCCTGCCCGCCCTTTCCTCCAAGTCTTCCCTGGCCTTAGAGGGCAGCTGGTCCAAAGACTCCGGAGCCTTCGTGCACCTGGGTGTCTGATTTCCAAACACAGGCACCACTCCACACACCCCAGTCTATGTCAGGCCCTCTGTCAAAGGCATTGCGATCTTGGCTGAGCGGTTGCGGTGGTTCACAATTTAGGATTATAGGTGAACGCCTCGTAAAACAGGGATCTTAGGCAGAGCTGGACAGAGTGCTCATTTTGATAACATTTCTGCGCACATTTCATGCAGTGATCGAGTCTGTCTGTCTGTCTGTCTGTCTGTCTCTCTCTCTCTCTCTTCTCTCTCTCTCTCTCTGTCACACACACACACACACACACACACACACACGCGCGCGCGCACGAACGTCCCACTCCGTGAGGGTTGTACCTTAAGGGTGCTCTGCTACTAAAAACAGCCCTGCGAAAAACAACTCACTTTTGTGTGTAACTTCTCGTACTGAAACCACTACAGTCACTTCGTTAGAAACATTTTTGGTCAGAATAATTCTTTGTTGGGGCAGGTGAGGGGGGTGTCCTCTGCATTGTAGAATGTTTAACAGCATCCCTGGCCTCTACTCTACCCTAGGCTATGCCATTAGGCCCTACCCCACATTGTGACAATCAAAAATGCTTTCAGATGTTGCAGGTGTCTCCTGGAAGGCAAAACTGACCTTTTGAGAACCACTAATTTAGAGGGAATAGCTAAAATTTTAATATTTCATTCAACAGGTTTTCCTAAAATATTTCAGACATTTAGGAAAGATGTGCCTGAAATAAATTTCAGTAGGTAAGAGAATGTTTTCCATTTTCATATTATATTTTAAAGCTGATTATGTTTACTTTGTGGATAAACATGTCGGGAAGTGGAATAAAATCATCCAGGGCATTTAAAACTAATTTATTCAAAAAGGTTCCCCCGCTCCTTTAAATCTACACTGTTAGACACTTTGGAGGAGATAGAGACAGGGTACATGCCTATTACCCGTAGAGATGACACGTACTTATTAAGATAACATGAAATAAAAACCTTATGCCATGTGTACAATAGTGCTATAAATGTTTAGAGTGTAGATATCTATTGGCTAAATTAAAGAGTGATCAGGGACACCTGTGGAGAAGAGTAGAAATTATGATCTTTCCTTTCTTCTTCTTGCTGTTAGCCTTCAAGCACATTAACTATAATAATGAGACACCACAGAAACACTTTTTGGAATATTTTTATAAATCTTTCCCGAAATAGCACACCAAACCTGAGTCCATAATCTTGAATTTACTATTCATCTAAGTTTTGCTGTTACAAGCAACTTTTAAATTCTTCAGTGTAGGAGAATTGTTTTTTTCCACTTACAAGTTTCTGTTTGTCTTCTTGATTCAATATTTTAATAAAAGATAATGTATATGCTTAGAATATTAAAGTATACAAAGGTGTAAAATTAAAAATTTTAGTACCCTTCTTCACTCCCCACTCCCACTCACCATAATTATGCTTTCAGTATAATTTTAGGTAGCATATTTCATATTTTCATTCCTTGATTTATCAATTTTTAATGTAACTACTGACTTCCCACCATGAAGGTTGTCAAATGTAACTTATAGTCCTCTTCATTTTTGGTAGTTATATTATTTTGAGTTTTTCTAACTTTTAGGACTTTAAAGTATTTTAACCTCTACTACTTGATTTATCTATTTTAATGAATATTAACTCTATTATGAAAAATTAATTCATTAATGCACTTCTACTTCTATCTCTCCTCTCACCCTTTCCTCTCCCAATTAACAACGAAGTATATAACAAACTATTAAAAGTTATATATTTATATAAAGTCATTTTACTTTGCCAAGCTTTGTTATATTTGTATGCTTTATAATAATAATTAACTCTTAGTGCTTTGGGTACAGATTGATTCTAAAAATTGAAAACTATTAAACAATACTCATAAATTCATTCCTAGAATCTAATAATGCGATTGGATTTATGCACAAGAAAATGAAATCCTGTGTTCGTAAAACTTGGAAAGTCCTAAGTAACCTCATACTATGCTCTGTTCTTTCAGACCTAAAACCCCCTCAGGCAGGCTGCCCACTCTTTCTTGTTTTCCACGGCTAATTTTTGCTTGTTTGTTCTTAAGTATTTGTTATCTCAGAAAGGGCAGAATTGTGGGCTCAGGTTCCAGCTTGACCCAGATTTCCTATATGGGAACTTCTCTTTCCTAGATGAAATTCTTAATCTCCTCTCAAATCTTCCTAAGAAGATACTTCTTTTATATTTCAAAACATTCTCTGGTAAATTTGGTAAGATTGTGTTTTTAAGGAAATCTGTCTAAAAAGTTATAAAAATGCAACCAATCTTGGCTCAATTTCTATTTTTAATTGCCCTTTGACTATTCTGGTTGAAAATGGGGCCAACTTTAGCAGCAGATGAATGTGCCACATGTGATTTCTGAGAGGTTCCCTCAGTTTCCTTGTCTGTAGAAAGGGATACTAATACCTGCCTTGATTGGCTTTTGCAAAGATAAATGAAATAATGTGAGAAAGCATCTTTATGTATGTACTACCACACAGTAAGTTCTCAGAACGTGTTAACTTTCTTATCCTAGGTCGTCTTCCATCTTGACACAGAAATAATCTTTGGTGTTGGTTTAAGGAAGGCAAAGAGACGTAAATGAATGGTGTACTGATTTTGTTAATTGTTGCATTGGGAAAAAACCCAATCATTAAATGTTGTCTAGGGATTGCTCTTCAATGTCCCTGCACTCTTGGTCTCTATAACTTGTTTCTCTAGGAGGTTAGATAAACAGAACTCCTCTAGAGACTTCTACAGGTGACTTCAGCAGAGGACTTCTTTACCCATTATAGGACGCAGTCATTTCAAAATTAAAACAAAACACCCCAATGATACAATATGCCAAGGAACAAAGCATCAAAAAAAGAAGGTGGAGACATAAGAGAACAGAGAAATGTAGAAAAGGGACAATCCTAAAATTGACTAAATTATTTGGAAAAATTTTGTTTGATACATTTAGAAGATGCAGCAAATTATTACAGAAAATGAAATTCAAAGAGGCAAAGGAATTTGAAAAGCAACAGTTACTTTTGTTTTTAACTAGTTGTAGTCATTTTAACTAGTTTTTTTAAACTGCTGGTAGAAAGAATACAGATTGTTTAATTACAATGCATTTGACTTCAGCCTTTTCCAAAAAAATTGGATTATTTTAAGCTATTTAAAATGAACACTATGCTCTCATTTAAAGTCAAGGAAATATTTACACACACACACCAGCACTGCCACCGCCACCACCACCACCAGCATACATGCACAGATAGAGTAGGAATAATTTACTCCCCAAGGGAAATAATATGGTATTGGGAGCCTCTGGGATTTAGGAAGGAGTACTTTCCAAAGAATAGACATGATGCAAACACACTGCGCCTGACTGCACTGAAGAGATAAAAATAAAAGAAAGTGTTTCAAAGAGAATAGAATCTATGTATACTTGTTACTTAGTTGTTAAATGTACTATATTTAGAAGAACTAAGAACTATGGAGGTATACTCAAAAACTAACATTTTGTCTAAATTTTGGGATGATCTATCACAGTTTGTATCAAGGAACCCCAATATCAGTACAAACAGAAGAAAGTTGGCTTCAAAACTTGTCTTACAGAAAGTGGTCTGGTGAGTAGTTCGATTTAGCTTTTGCTGGGAGATGGGATGGCACATTGGAAAGAACACGGCATAGGTGGCCAGTAGATCTGGTTGGAATCCCAGACCCCACACACGCATTATGATGATGGGGCAAGTTACTTAACCTTGTTCAGTTTGTTTCTTCATGTGTTGGCCATAATAATACTGCTGTTACAGGATTGTTGTAAAGACCAAAATGAGATTAAATTTTTAAATTCCTTGGCACTTAGTCTTTAATAAATGGTAGCATTTATGTACACATCAAGAAATAATCCGCCATTATATTTTGATACATATCTTTATTTTTTATTATAGAACACGCACGCTGTTTTTAAGTGACAAACCATTAAGAAATATATAATGTAAAAATTTAAATTTAAACTTATCCCAATATAGTCCTCAGAAGTAATCTTTATGAATAGCCTTTCCTTTCAAGTTTTGCATTTGTTTTGTGTTGTCTCTTATTCATCAGATGCTTGTTGAGCACCTACCATGTGCCAAAGCACACATCATAGGCTAAGCTCTGTTCAGGGAAACAGCAAAGTACAAAACAAACAACACCCCTGTCTCAATGATCTTGTATTAAAGTGTGGGTGGTGGGGGTAATGGTGAGATAAATAATACACAAAATAAGTAAATATGTAATACGTCAGGTGATGTACCTGCTAAGGAGAAAAATCAAGCAAGTAAAGGGGTGAAAAATGTGGGGTGGTAGCTTACACAGGAAGCTCAGGGAAATCTTTACTGAGAAGCTGAAATATTTGAGCAAAGACCTCAAGGAGGTGACAGGCTGAACCACAACCATCTCTGGGGGAGCAGAGTGTTCCAGGCACAGGAAGCAGCAAGCGCCTCCTTCTAGAACAAGGAGGTAGCTAGTGTGGCTGGAGTGGAGTAAGTAAAGAGGAGAACTGTAGGGGCCAAGGTCAAAGAGACTATGAGGACCAAATCTTTTTCAGTGGGAATGAAGTGGGAATTCACTTGTTTGCACAAAAGGAGTGATGCAACCTAGCATAAAAATAGACCAAATATTAAAAAGCTATTAATTATTACCAAATTAATCTATATAGTCGGTGTAATCCTGATGGGATTTTTCAATGGAATTTAATAAGTGCATTCTTTGATCTTGTTGGGCAGTGTTAAAAGATCAACTGAGGCATTTTCAAAAGTTTATTTGAACAAGTATCAATTTGAATTGTGCAGTGCCAGACCAGAAGTGTTTAGGGACTCTCCACTGACAAGACCTAAGGGAGAGATTTTTATAGAGAAGATGCGAGAACAAAGCAAGAAAATTATTTGATCGGCTATAGCTTAAGAGGTTACATGATTTGGGGAAGCACCGTTGGCCATTTGTGATTGGCTGTTCTTCTTAATCCTGAGGCCTTTACAGGAACTGACTCTGGTTTAGGTTTCAGTGTGCTGACATGGGCTACCAAGGCATGGGAGCCACCTCCAATGCCTGCCTTCTTTGATTGTTTTAGCAACAGTGTACCTGACCATTTTGAGGGGGATCTTCCTTTATAGTTTTTTTTTTTTTCATAGAGGATTCATATGCAGGTCTTATTAGCTTGTTCCTAGATACACTGTAGTTTTTTTAATTGATATAACAATTAGAATGTTTTTTCTATTATATTTTCTAATTGGTTATCGTCACAGTAGAGTGAAACTATTGATTTCTAGGTACTAATCTTGTATCTCTGCCCCTCTTGCTCTGACCTTCTTATTAGTTCTAACAGTTTGTCAGTTGAAAGTCTACTACAAAATTACATTTCCTGTGAATAATAGCAGTTTATCTCTTTTTAATTTTTTTTACTTAGTGTGTCATGGACATCTTTCCATGTCAGGGAAGATGGATCAAATTCTTTAAAATGACTGCACAGTATTCTCATATATACAGTTATTGTGACTTATGGGATAAATCTGATTGCTAGATATTTCAAGGTGGTTTTGGTTTGGTTTGGTTTGGTTTTATGAGTTCTTCCCAATAGCAAATAATGTCTTAATGAAAATCTTTGTGCATTCATTTTTTAATATAGCAGGTCATTGAGTAACATCATTTCATTATTATGTTGATGAGATACCATAGGAAATTATCTCGTATATCAACTAGCCTATACTAAAATCAATTTTGTTATACGTCATTTCACTCATAGCCACAGAACCAGTTAATAACTTAAGTGAGGACTTACTGTACATGTGCTTGCATTTCTATTGGGCAGAATGCTTAAAACATATTTAAAATTTTTCCAGATACTCCACATAGGAAGTGGGTCATCTTCTGAAGCCTGTTTCTTTCCCCAACAGTAGTCCTTGCTATCCCTGGCTCTGCTGGGAAAATGGGTCAGTCTCCTCCCTTTACCTCTGTCCCATTGTAGGTTGTTCTGATTGGTTTTTCATCATCCCAATCCTATCTGCTTAAAATTCTAGACATTTACTCGAAGTTGCTGTTTGCTGTTGTGTTGATGGCCGCCTTCACCACTTTTAGTGGAGGAAATAATCCTTGTAGTTTAGTTCACTGTGTTGAACTGGAACCCCACCCTACCCCATTCCCCCGAGTACCTGTCTACTTGAAAAATCTCTTTTAGAATAACAGACATAAAATAGATAAACTAGTACTTAAGAGAAGCAGAAAACAACAGGGTCTGCAAAACATGTTATAATCAATAAAATATGCATCCACGTAGTATTCTAGGACTGGAGAGGAACAGAAACATTTTTAAAGGTGATGCATTAGAGTGGTAAATTTTCTGTTTGTTTCTTATTGCTGTTAAAATGTTATTTGGAAAAAGGCAAAAAAAAAAAAAAGATAAACACAATAAGGGTACTTATTTTTCCAACAGGCATATTTTCTTTTAAACTTATTTTCTACTTTATAAGGATTAATGACAAATGTATACTCTTTTTACAGGGAAGAGAACATCCTCCATAAGGAAAGAAAGTGAACATGAAAATCTGGCTTCTAAGTTAAGAGGTGAATAGATGTTTGGAGTCATCCCCTCTGCTGACAAAGGCACACTGCCATTAGGGAGCCAACCTTAAATTGAATGGTCCCCCTACCCTTTAGTAAAGCCCTCCTCTAATAATATATTCAAGAAAGGTGTGAAAAGATAGGGTTTCAGGGAATTTTAACAGTGTGTGCGTGCGTGCGTGTGTGTGTGTGTGAGTGAGATGGGCTAGGATCTCCAAACTAGAGAAAATGAGATATGCTGCACAGAGGTTTTAAACTTTCCTTCTAAATCTCTCCTTGTCTCTTCAGAAAAATGGGTAATTAATCCAGAAGAGCCAAAACTAAATATTTTATGTGAGCTGGAGGTAAGAAATGTTTATCAGTCTGACTAGTACACTGTGCTCATGGTAAAAATCAGGTATTCAGCCTTCAATATTCTCTCTCTCTCTTTTTAAAATTTAGTTCAAGGAAGACTTCCTAACACTGTTTGAACCTTCTTTGAGAACTTTACCCAGCGCTGGGCCACCAACCATTCTGGCATTCAAACAAGAGAGTTCCAATTTAGGCATTACCTTCAAGGTGATTTTAATTCATTCTTTTTTACTCTAATTAATGATGTGAAAAGCCGCATGATGATTTGCACAAAAGATAATGAACATACTTTAAAAGAAAAAACAGGCAAAAAGTATATTTACTTGAAATAGCACTGAGACAGGGTGGCTGTGTTAGTTTCCTTGGGCCTCTGTAACAAAGCACCATAAACCAAGGCACTTAAAGTGACGAAAACTTATTGTCTCACAGTTCTGAAGGTTAGAAGTCCAAAACCAAGGCATCAGCACGTTCAGCCCCTAGGACAGAACCCTTCCTTGTCTCTTCCGGCTTCGGGCTGTGGTCATCAGTCCTTATTCCCTGGCTTGCAGCTACATCATTGCAACCGCTGCTTCAGTTGTCCTGGTGTTCTCTGTGGATCTGTGTCTCTTCTCCAAGGACACCAGTCTTTTTGGATTAGGGTCCACCCTAATGACCTTATCTAAACTTGAATACCTCTGCAAAGACCTCATTTTAAATAAGGCTGCATTCATAGGTACCAGGGGTTAGGACTTCAATGTGTCTTTTGGGGGAACACAATTCAACTCCTAACAGTGGCCATAAAGCCTGGAAACACTAGTAAAATATAGATTTGCCATGTCTGATCATGTTATGTGACTAACTGATGCCTGTGCTTCCTAGGCCAGGGAAAGGTCAAATTAGAAATTCCAACAGGCTGGCATACCACCCTGCTTCACCACAACGGTGAGGGAATAATTAGTAGAATGATGATTTCCAAACTTGTATGTTATGTCCGTGTGGGGAGAGCTGCATGTCCCCCAAGATCAGAACCCCTTTGATTACTTCTTCTGGGTGTATGAAAGGTGCAAGCTTATTTATTGAAACCAACAGACCAATCATGTGAGACAACATGTTGCAGATGCATGTGTAGGGGCTGATGGAAATGCTGCTTGCTTCACTGATGTGTTCATTGCCATTTGAGCAGCATATTGAACTGTGCAGTTCTATTGAGGGGCACCATATTAGATATATTGTAATCAAATGTCAGTTAATATTTACTGTTTCTATTTGCCCAGGTTTCTAAACTTTATGGTCACCCTGTATACTCTTCGGGTCGAAATTCTTTATTCAAACATAGCATCTTCCTTTTTCTGAACCACTAAAGGCTTGAATCCAGGGGAGTTTCTTGAGTTTTCTTCCCCTGACAGCCAGAGATGGGCCCGAACATGAGGAAGGCTTGTGGCCTTTCTTCCAGTGAGTTGTCCCTGGACTGGCACCTGGGCAGGGCTGGGTACTCCTGCTCTTCAGACAGACTTTTCAGGTCCTCTGAGATGGGGCTTTAACACTAGCTTAATTCAGGGGCAGCAGCAGCTGGCTCGCCAGCTGTCCTCTCCAGTCGTTCCTTTTTCAGGTGCAGATTACCACCCACTCATGGTCTTTCAAAGCATCTTCACCTTGCTTCATCCCAGGCAAAGGGGTAAAGTGACCACAGGCTGAACACTTGTATGGAACAGGTTGTAGGTGGACTGGCATTGTCAAGATCTCGTTCTGCCCTGCTCTACCATTTGGTAACCATCCTAGACTTTTCACCACCATCCCTCTATTACAAGGCTTTACTACCCCACCCCACCTTGGAATATTCTGCTTTCAGCTATAGTAGTATTGCGTAGTTTCAATGGCCTAAAGATAGCGGACATTACTGTAGGGTGGTGAATCCCTGGCTACATTGGACACCTCAGTTGCCCTTTGGCCCCACGGTGACCACTTTGCCAATCCTGGAGGATAGTCTCTATGGCAAATACAGATGCCACGATTCGATACCTGCAAGTCACAATCTGGGTCTTATCCTGGAGTCCTGTGGTAAGGCTTGGCTACTCATCGTCATGACCTCAGATCACCAGCATGGCCGTAGTGCATCAACCCTTCACTGAGTCACCTGAGCCCCTAACTCCAGGTCTCCCTTTTGCTCCCCCTGGTCTCCTGAATTACCTCCATAGCCCATGCAGGAGAATTTAGAGCCTCAACTTCAAGAAACCTTCCCCTTGAGAAAGGACTCTAATTTATTTTAGAAAGTTGACCATTGTAAATGGTGGCCTACATAATAATATCAAGCCTTTTTCTTACCTGACAGTCTTAAAAGAATTTATGGTATTCAGGCTCCTTAGACCATTGGCCTAAACCTGGTATGTGTTATCCTCTGTCTCTTGCATCTAGTTACACACTGTACATCACCCCCAAACCCCCAACAAGAGACTCAACAGTTACTTCTGCAAATTTCATCTTACACTGGGGGGGGGGGCACCCCAAGGACCCATATAGCTCTTAATGGAATCAGCTGTGCTCTAGTGAACTGCACCATATAGAGGCCCTCAAATACCACCTCAGCCTCCTCATTCCTCACCAGCTCTTAAACAGAAGTGTTCTTTCATTACTAAAATATATGGATCTTGCTAGCTTGGTGCCTTCTAGTATAGGATCTCCACCCCATGAAAGATTTCCACCAACTATTTCTGGGAGTCTCAGGGTGTCTGAGAAGGGTTCTCAAGTAGATTTGCATATCCCTCCCAACACTGCTCTCCTACTGGACATCTACCGGTCCTGCCCAGAGCCCTGGCTCCTGTTGCTCTCAGGCTGTTGTGGGCATGTCTTCATTTTTTTCCCTTCCTCTCTGAAGGAAGAAGAGGAGGAGATGTTGCCCAAGTGTGAATTTTGTGGGAGCGATCTAAGAATATTTCTTTCCGATATGGATATTTACTCTGACAACAGTAGCTCTGAACCTATAGAACATGTAAGTTCTAAAGCAGTTAACTGAGGAAAGCATTATTTTTAAATACCACTTTTAAACATATATAGTATTTTCTACTTAATCTTCCTCCTGCATTGACATCCTTAAAAGTCATGTGTTAGCCGTTGGGGAAACACAAATCATAACCACAATGGCATACCATTCCACACCCACTAGGGTGGCTATAATCAAAGAGACAGATGATAGCAAGTGTCGGCAAGGATGTAGAGAAACCAGGACCCTTGTACACTGCTGAAGGGGAATATAAAATGGTGCAGTTGCTTTGGGAAACAGTCTGGTAGTTCCTCCAAAAGTTAAATATACAATTACCATATAATCCAGCAATTCTATTCCTAGGTACATACCCAAGAAAATTGACAACATATGTCCACACAAAAAATCTTGTACGCTAATGTTCACAGCAGCATAATTTATAACAGCCAAAAGGTGAAAACAGTCCAATGCCCTTCAGCTGATGAATGGGCAAATAAATGGTCGTGTATCCATAAAATCAAATATTATTCAGCCAGAAAAAGAATTGAAATACTAATACATGCTACAACATAGATTAACCTTGAAAACATTATGCTAAGTGAAAGAAGCCAGTCACAAAGTACCAAATATTGTATGATTCCATTTATATGAATTGCATAGAATAGGCAAATCTAAAGAGACAGAAAATAAATTAGTGGTTGCCAGGATTGGGAGGAGAGGAGGATAGGGAGTAACTGTTAATGGGTACAGGTTTCATGTTCTAAAATTGATTGTAGTGAATATTGTACAACTCTGAATACACTAAAAACCACTGACTTGTAAGTGGGTGGATTCTATGGTAAATGAATCTGTTACCCCCCAAAAAGTTATGCTAGATTGTTATCCAAACCCCTTTAGCCATTTTTTATTTTTTTTACCCCTCTAATAATCTTAATCTAGGATTGATGAGATGAAAATGACTGCTTTGTTTTTCAGACCCCCTGTTGTAATTATTTCCAAAATCTGACTGACTACATCTATGATGAAAATAAAAAAATCCAAAGCACTAAAACTGAATTAATCTCCATCAAACCTCATGCAGCTTACGGCAGTGAAGTTGATAGACTCAAAGCAAGGGAAAAAGCCCTGCAGAGGTAACATCGAGCCTTTGATATCGAAATTAAGATAGGCTCACTTAATTAGAGAGCTTTTTGTAAAATGAACCTTGTTTTTCAGAATATGTAATTTCGAAGATGTATTCCCAGTGAAGAAATAAAAATTGGCCAGAGCAAACTTATTACAGTTCCTGGTGGCTGTTAGAGATTCAGAAGCTCCCTGAAACTCAGTCAACTCACTGATTTAAAGTAGAAACTTACTAATCCCAAATTCTCAGGGCAAGTCAGAATTACTATGTTGGAGAAATTTGTCCACTAAACAGAGTAGAGACCCACGTACTCTGATTAAATGACTGAATTCACAAGTAATAACAGATAAAAACAACCAGGGATGGCATTTAAACAGTTAAAATTTGTAGTATACTGTTTTAAGCTTGAAACACATTTCAGATTTATACATCATTTTTTTTTATTTTGTAGAAAACAGGAGCGAAAAATGGCCAAACATTTGACAATAATAACAAATGAACAGACTAGTTTCTTTGAAGAAGGTGAGTTCATCGACGCTGCTATTATAGATCAATTGTACCTCAGAAAGCTCAAATGTTTGACTGAGAACTAAAATTAGCATTTAAAAAAGAATATTTAACCTTTTCATTATAGTAAATGCATCAGTCAAAATGGCTCACAAAATCTGGTGTTTTAAGTCATCTGGCTTTGAAGTTTTTAATCTTCATCTCATTATTAATTGAAATAAATTAGCAATATCTATAGAGTACTTTGCAGATAACTGCAAAGAGCTTCTGAGTTCATTGTTTCTTGTTTTATTAAGCACGTATTCCATTTTGTTTTCAAGCTGGGGTATGCAAAATCTGCCAGAACTAAATCAGATTCCATTTTTCATGTATGGGTTTCACCAGTCATCTGGCCAGTACAGTTACAGTGCTGGTACAGCTGAAGGAGAACTGATTTTAGAATCAGAAGTTCTGGATTTATATACTGGCTTTTCTCCTTTTAGGCTGTCTGATTTTGAGTAAATTACTTAATCTTTCTGAACATCAGGCTCTTCCTCCACCACTCAGCTACTGAAAAGATAGTTAGAAAAGATGTATTTTTGTTGTTTTTGAACTGAATCTCTGGTATAAAGTTCCTTGATAGTCATCAACTGCTTCCTACTAAATCTAATGTCATAAAATCCCACTTAATGAAAATTATCATTTTTTAACAAAGGAATAGTCTCATTTTTAAACAAAAGAAGGTCCTCACATTAGCCTAATGAAAGTCCTCATTTTTCTTTCATTAAAAAAAATATGTCTTATGAATCAATGAATTTGAAATAAGGTTTGAAATTTTATTTTAGAACATGGACTTTGGAAAATTTAAAACATATATGTACTTTCATGTGATTCTTTTCCCAATAGATTCAAAACACTTTAAAACAATTTCTTATCAACTTTCCGTGGATATTCCGGAAAAAGACACAACTGATGACAGATCACTTGATTTTCAACTAGACGAAAGAAACGTATCTATTATTTGCTGTGATTCTAGGATAGCATGTGGAAAGGTAATTCGCTTGTAACTTTTTACTTGCTGCTCTTTAAAAATCAGTTTTACCTAAAATTATAAAAGCTGTCATAATGAATATATATGGCAGCTTGGCTACATGGCACATTTAATCATTGTCAAAAAGAATTGATATAGACTTGGCCTTTTAACTTCTACTAAACTTTGCAACAGTACTTTACATATGTTTTAGAGGGGGCTATTTTGCTGATTAGTGCCTTTTTATTTAAAATGTGATAATTATACATTAGGGAATATTTCGAACTCTCTGAAAACTAAAGTGAAGGGGAGAAATCACCAAAAGTCTCAACAGCTTCCAAAAATCATTATTAATATTTCAATATTTTCTAGACCTGCACTACCCAATATAGTAGCAACTACTACGTATGACTAAATTTAAAATAATTAAAATTAAATTAAAATTTAAAATGTAATTTAGTCACATTAGCCACATTTTAAGTGCTAACTAGTTGTGTATGACTAATGGCTACCAAATCACAGTGCAGATATAGAACATTTTTATAGCCACCAAAAGTTCTATTAGACAACATTTTTCTAAACTTTTTTATGCATAAGTTTTTGTTAACATACTTGTAATTGCATTACAATTATATGTAATTTTTATCTTTTTAAACTCAATTATAAAAAATGTGTTCCATGATAATATAGATTATCATATAGCTTATATTAACATCATTTTAATATCTATGTACTTTTTCATATAGTTTATCTATCCATTCCCATTATTGGACAAACAGGTTATTAACAATATTTTTTGCTGCACTAAATAACATTGCTTTGAATATAACAACAGCAGTGGCAGTAATAATAATAATGGCTGTGGAGTTTCAAAAACAGTATAGAATAAAAATGCATGACAAAATAGCACATGATTTTGAAAAAGCTAAATGCAGTTACAGTGTTCTAAAGTCCTTCATTTGAGAGAAGGGCTAATATATAGCTTAGCTTCAGATAAATTATTTGCTTGCTGAAATTTCTAGAGTAGCCAGAAAGATAACAGAAGTAGACAGTATAACTATCTAGCTTGTAGAGGTAGAGTGAAAAACAGAATAATTTATTTTAAATACCCGCCTAAAAGATAAGAAAGGATAAGGGAAAAAGAAAAACAGGTAACAGGAGTCAAATAGAAAACACCAAGGAATGTCGGTAACTACATGTAAATAGACTAAATAGTCCAATTAATAGACAAAAACTGTCAATTTTTTAAAAAGAAAAAATTCAACCACATACTGTTTATAAGAGACACATCTAACATATAAGGATACAAAAAGATTAAATATAAATAGATAAAAATGATACATCGTGAAAACACTAAAGAACATTTCTAGAGATAAAGAGGATCACTTCATAATGATAAAAATTTTAATCCACCAGGAAGATATAATACTACAAAATATTTTCCCCATATTAACATAGCTTAAAAATACATAAAGCAAAATGTCAATAATTGAGAGGACTATTCGACCCCACCAAAAAGAGCAATAATAAACTAGAATATTTAAACAACTCATTTAGTAAATTTGTTCATGGATTAGAAGATTATATTTTAAAGATGACATTATCCCCAAATTTCAAATTCTAACAAAATTGTATGTTTGTGTGTATTGAGAGAAGGGCAGTCTTGACAAGTTGATTCTAAAATTTACATGGAAATATAAAAATCTAGAATAGCCAAGACATTCTTGAGGAAGAAGGCTGGGGAATATGCTCTACCAGGCATTAAGACATTACAAAATAGAGTAATTAAGACAGTGTAGTGTTAGGGCAGGATAAACGAAGAAAGCCATGATGAAGAATAAAGAGTCCAGAATCAGACTCATGCATAAACATCTGATTTATGTCACAGCAGTGGCACTGCACAATATTAGAGAAAGAATATCTTTTTAATACATAGTGCTGGGACAATCAGGTATCCATATTTTTTTAGTGAAATTTGAACCGCTACCTCACATATTTAAAAAATCAATTCCAGGTGGCTCCATAGTGTAGTGGTTAGCACGTCTGCTTTACATGCAGAAGGTCTTGGGTTCATGCCCCAAGTGGAGCCACAGACCATACCCTGGGTAAGGCAGGCCCCGGGTGCTCTCTGTGAGCGAGAGCACATGGGAGGAGACGCCCCACATTCAGAGATCCAGTTCTTAAAAAAAAAGGGAGATGGCAACATCCATAGGTCAGGGGTGGAAGTGTGGGGAGGAATTAAAGAGGGGGAAAAACAATCAATTTCAAGTAGATTAAAGACCTAAATGTGAAATACAAAACTACAAAGATTTATTTTTTATAGGAAAATAGCTTTATCAACCTCAGCTTAGAGAAAGATTTACTAACTGATGGTAAAAAGAAGTATCCATAAAAATGTACCCATTTTCATTTTATAAATTAAAATTAAAGATATGAAAGTCAAGCCAAGAAAGGATCAATATTTGCAGCACATATGACATACAAAGGCTTATACACTAAGTGTAAAAGGACATAAAAAAAGTCCACTTAATAGAAAATTGGCTAAAAAAACGTAGACACTCTTCAAAGGAGAAAATTTAAATGGTCAATAAAGATACGAAAAGGTGCTTGATGTCATTAGAAACCTGTGAAAGGAAAATTAATACCACAATTAAGAGATCAGTACATACCTATCATATTGAAAATGGAAAGTCTGATAGTTCTGTGTTGAAAAGGATACAGAGCAATAGTCACTATTGTTTGCCTCCAGTGGGAATGTAAACTGATATAACTCAGAAATCATTTTGACATTATCTGTAAAGTGGAAGACAAGCATATCTTGGGATTCAGCAGTTCCACCTCTGGATATAATATCTGAGAGGAAATGGGTACCAGCATACATGCATAAGGATGTTCATTTTATCATCGTTTATAACAGCCAAAAACTAGAAACAACCTAAATATCCATTTACAAAAGAATGGATGAATAGTGATAAATTCATACAATAGAATACTATACACAAATGAAAGTTATTGGAATGGGCTACACATTGGGATATATATGAATCTTACAAACAATGTCGACAGAGAAAAAATATTAAAAATATATAATGTATGATTCTATTTGCATAATATTCAAAATGAGAAAAATTAAACTATATTGTTTAGAAACTATAAAAGTGCAAAGAAATTACTGTGGAATCAGACTAGTAGTTATGACTTTGGGAAAGACACACGGGGAGCTTCGAGAGTAATGGCATCGTTCTAGTTCTTGACCCAGTAGCGGTAACAGGTAGTGGTAACATGGGTCTTTGCTTTATTATTACTCATTAACAAAATAGCATGTTATAGCACTTGTCTTAATGTATTTCACAGTTCATATTTTTAAAAATGAAATGTTGTATTATCTTCTGAAATAAATGGCAACATTTACATAAAAAATTAGAATGTTTCGCTGTTTAGCCCTAGAGATTCTTGTATCTATTTTATTACAATTCAAGATTAGGAATAAATAGAATCAAACTGAATCTTTAGTTTATTATAAAATATTGTTGGGGATAAATTCATTTCCCTATTGAGTGTTATCTATAAAAGATTTAAACTGGGAGATATAATAAGGACTGTCTCCCTGTATTTCTTCATCTTTTCATACTCCACAGTGTTTTGTTCAGATGAACGTCAAGATTAAGCTTGAAGAGACACCAAATGCTGCAACTTTTACTGAGTTTTAAAGTTAGTTTATTGAAATATAATGTACATAGAGTAAAATTCACCATTTTTAGATATACAGCTTTCTGAACTTTGACACTTATATAATCACCAATACAATCAGGATATAGAATATTTTTATTGTGGTGGAACTGGATTTTATCTTCTGTTTTGTTTAGTTTTTACACTAATATGTGTACACAGTAAAACAGAAATCCTCAAGCAGATACATAATGTCAAATTTTTGCCGTATAGGTTTTATCATGTATTCTGCAGGGGTTAAGGAAAATCTTTAGTGATTCTGAAAGGTTGTTCCCTGTCACTGAAGCAGGGCCAAAAAGTTAAATTAACAAATAGCTTGTATCACTGTCTAGCAAGCAAATGGCATCTGCGGTTTTCATATTTAATGCATTCTACCTGAAACAATTAACAGTTACATATCCTTTAATTTTCTGTGGTTTATAGATTGTAAGGAATGAACTTTTAGAGAAGTACTACAAACATGGGAGCAAGTTTCTGACTTCATTTCCAGATGGGACAACTCAAATATTGTATCCTTTCTTGCAACCAATTACTTTTATTAACTTTATTTCTTCACAAAAAGACAGATATAGAAAAAAATATAAAGATATTTAAAAATACACGTTACCTCCAAGTCCTACCCCCAAAGAAAAGCTGTTAACATTTTTTTACTTTTTCTTACTTTTTCTGAGCATATATACAATTTTTAAAAAATCAGTTCTTCGATTATTCATATTTTATAATTTTCCTCTTTACATATATTATACAAGAAATAATATTTAAGTATATAATGTACAATAAATATAAACATATAATACCATTTTTATAACCACACGGTATTTCATTATAGCATGTAGTATAATTCATTTAACCTATCCTCTATTACTGAACAAAGGTGGTTTTGCAATTTTTCATTATTATATACAACTAAATGAACAGCTTTGTGCATATTTCATTGTATACTTACCACTTATTTCCTTGAATGAAATACCTGGGGTAGATATTCTGGATAAGGAATTATAGACATTGTAAAACTTTGATAGATTTTACTCCGTAGAAAATGTGTACCAGTTTACACCTTTGTGAACAGCATGTTATTTTTAATACAAAAATTCAATATCTATTTTATAGAACACTAAGTTATTGATCACATGAACTTCTGCCTGATGGCCAGGCCTTTTGGTATTTTTGACATAAAGCCTGTTTAATATATAAAGGAAAGTTAAACATTTTTTAAATAAAATTTTTAAAAACTATGAAATGAGCAGGTTTTTTTAGTGAACTGAGGGGCCTCACCTTGGATGAGAAAGTCATTTTTGGTCAGAGTTCCCTAAATGTATAGTCAAACCCCACTGATAAACCAGAAAAATGACTTTCATGGCATAGAAAGTGTAATGAAGTTTTAGTTTCCTAGACCCTATGAGAAAGAGTATAAGTTTTATTTTAATTACATCGATAAATTTTAAATAATTTCTACAACTTTTATTATTAGTGATCACTTCATGCCTTGGTTTTAATTCTTAACTCTCGAAGGCTGTGGCTGATTTTCAAAATGATTCAGGATCAATCTTGTGTTTACTTTGTCTCTGGACATCTGATCAGCTTAGATAGGACTGAGTATTAACAGTATCAATTAGTGAATTAGCTTCAGTATATTTTATTCTTTTTAATGCTATTATTATAAGTGGAAGTATTTTCTAAATTTCATTTTCAGAATGTTCACTGCTAGTGTATAGAAATACTGTTTATTTTTATATATTGATCTTACAGCCTACAACCCGGCTGAACTCATGTGTTAGGTCTAATATATTGTTTTGTGGATTCTTTAGGATTTTTTACATGCAAGAACATGTCAGCTGCAAATAGGAATCATTTTATTTCTTCCATTTCTGATCTGATGCCTTTCATTTCTTCTTCTTTGATAAAATTTCCCTGATTAGAACCTCCAGTGTAATGTTGAGTAGAAGCGTGGAGAGTTTTTGTCTAATTTTTGTCTAATTCTTGATCTTAGAAGGAAAACATTCAATCTGTATCATTTTTTTTTCTATTTATGCTTTCAGTATTTCATTAACTGATTTTCAGATGTTAAACTAACCTTACATTTCTGGGATAAACTCTACTTTGTCATGGTACATAATCCTTTTTATATGTTGCTAGATCCCATTAGCTAGAATTTTGTGGAGGTTTTTTGTTGTCTCATATGTTTATATTTTGATCCACATAAAAAGCATAAAATGTCTTTGTGAAAACACTACCTCCCATTTTCAGAATGCTTTACAGTTTCAAAGGGCTCTGTCACAAATTGAATTTATTCTCAGAATGGCCAAGGATCATTAAAACTCGAATGACCTTATCTGATCTCAGCTACCCATCTGGAAACCTAGCCATCATCCGTGTGCCCAACAAGACAAATGGCTTCACTTGCATAGTCCAAGAAGACATGTCCACTAACCCTGCGATCCTGGCAGTGCTAGATTCTTCTGGCAGAAGTTCTTGTTATCATCCCAATGGAAATGTCTGGTAGGCTCCTAGATTCCTCTTGCTGCCATTGTGTTTTTTGGGTTTGTGAAATTGTATTTTTTCTTTTATTTTTTCCAAATTTATTGAGATATAATTGACATATAACATTGTGTAAGTTAAAGGCGTACAACTGTGTTGATTTGATATCCTTATAAATTGCAAAGTGATTACCACATTAGCATAGGTACCACCCGCATCATGCCATATAATTATCATTTCTTTTTTGTGTTGAGAACATTTAAGATACACTCTGTTAGCACTCTCGAGTATATAATGTAGTATATTAAGTATGACAATGTAGTATTATGAAGTATTATTAAATATGTACTTTGGATCCCCAGAACTTATTCATCTTATAACTGGAAGTTTTATTTTTTTCCTTTTAAATAATAAAAATGGCTTTAAGAAATTTTATTTTATTATATTTTTTTAAATTTTATTTTATTAGTTTCAAGTATACAGTACATTGGTTAGACATTTATATAGGTTATAAAACAATTCCCCTAATTGCTCCTTCACTCCTCTGTTTTTCCACCTAGCCAATATATTAATGCAAACTGCATTCCCTATGCCATGCTCCCCATCCCCATGACCATCTATCAACTACTAATTTGTGTTTCTTTAACCCTTCACCCCATTCTTTCAGCCTTCCAACACTCCCCACCCCCCATCTGTCACCAAATTGTCCTCTATATTTGTGAACCTGTTTTTGATTAGTTTGTTCTTTTCATCCTTAGATTCCGAATTTAAGTGAAATCATATGGTATTTATCTTTCTCTGTCTGACTTAAAGAAATTTTATTTAAGTTAGTGGTCTTTAGATAGTAATGTTACACTCAGAGAAATAGTTGATTTATGCCTTTCCATATGCTTCTCGGTGGAAAAATCCTAAGCAACTATGTAAAACAAAGCTCATAATATTCTTTCTATAAACAGCAAGAAAACACAAAGTATACAATTTCAACATTAGAAAAAAATCTCTAAATAAATTATTCGTCACTCTTGGGATCTAGGATACAAACTCAAGCAGTCTCTCTAGAGCCTGTGCCCTAATAATTTTATACTGCCTCATCTGTGAAAATAGTTTACAATGGACAGGTGCTACACTGAGTTGTTACTGTTTGAGATATATTTCTAACTAGTACACTTCCTAAAGCCACAACCAGCAACAATAACATACAGATGAACTCTCTAGAGAAATTAAATCCCATTTTGATCTACTAATTTACATATTCTGTGACTTCATATTATTTTATTTAGCCTGAGAAAGTGAAATTTAGGTTCTAACTTCAAATACAATTTAAACTTTTTGAGCTTTTCGGAAGAGACAGTCTCTCCCTTTAAAATATTTAAAGGTATAACAATCACATCTTAAGGAAGGAATAACAATCACAACAATTGACAAAGTTTGGACACTGACAGTACTTGAGGAAGTTCGGACGCAGAGAACTATTTGTGTTTTTCATCCAAATCAATAGTCAATCCATTATCCCCATTTATACTGGAGAATTTCTACTTACCCTTCAGGGCTCAATAGCAATTCTATATCACATTTGGTGGGGCACTGTGTTAATTGTCATCAGATATTTATTAGCTTCTGGGACTTTTCTATTGACAGTGAAGCCCTCTGACCCATCAACTCAACTCCTGGGCCCTCTGATGTGCCCCCCTGTTACTCTACTCTCATAGCCTCTTCTAGCTGCCTCTTGTGAAGCAAGCCCATCTCCACTGTGGGACTGAAGTTTCTTGAAAGCACACCCTGAATTTTTGCCACTATATAACATGTATCTGTACATGGTATAGACTCAAAAAATGTTGATTAAATAAATAATTTATCTAGATAATTTTGTATCCTCCCTCCCAGATATAATAAGATAATCACCTCAATTTCTCATTTGTACTTTTGCTTTTAGATTACTGCCACTAATCAATTCTAGGGAAATAAGATGTTAGTTATTTTACTTAGGGGCACTCATGGCCAGTTCATCTAGTTTTAAAAAAATAATTCATTATCAAACTAAGCCAACTTTCCAAGTACCCAGAACTCTATCTACTCTGTCTCGTCAAGAAAGGAATGGTGATCCAAGATGGAAGAAGGTGAGAGTATGAGGAGATAACTGAGTACAATGGAAGAGTCATTAATGCCATAGATGCCACTAGACTGCAGGGCTAAATTTGCATGTATGTAGTGAAATGCAGCACTGGTGACATTAAGAGACTGGGGAGCCCAGTTGGTCTCAGTTCCACCTTCTGCTCTGTTACAGAGCTCTTCTCCACCACAGTGACCTCAGAGATGTTCCCTGAGCCTCTCCTGCCCCCATTCAGCCCTGATGAGGCGCCTCCTAGAAAGACTTCTGGCTCCCAGTTGCTGGTTACTGCTAAGAAAACAGCTCTCTTGTACTGAGAACAATCTGGCCTTCCCCAGAATTTACTCGCTCTGGTCTTCTTTTTGGCAGGGGAAAACCTAAGCACTGGTGTTCTCCCCTCTTTCAGGTGTAGCAGGCTCCCCTGTATTTCTCCCCTGTCCAGACTAAACCTTTCCTGCTCCCTCTTCACCCTTTCCAGCACATCATTTTCCAGATCGCTTTACCATCCTGGTTCCACCCTCCAGACTCATCTTAATTTACAGTGGGTTTTCAATGGGACCCAGTACTTCAGATTAGAATAGAATTCAGTCACAGTCTTATTGCTCCTGGGTTTACCTGAGGTTTTCCATCATTTGTGTGCTATTGGCTAGCATAAGCTGCTACTCCCTTGGTTAGCAAATGACAGAGCTAATTTCAGGGTTGAATCATAATGTTACTCTTTATGACTTTTAATTTCCTTTCCACCCAGGGTATACATCAATATCTTAGGAGGTCAATATTCAGATCAAGCTGGCAACAGAGTGAGGGCTTGGAATTGGTCAAGTTCTGTCACTTCTTCAACCTTTGTTTCATTTAAACCTGTCTTTCTGGCCTTGAACCATTATGTCGGAGTTCGCATCTTAGAACAAGACAAGATTTCAATCACTTTTCTAGCAATGGGCCAACAGGCAAGAATTAGTGTTGGAACCAAAGTGAAGGTAGGTACATTTTTAAAAACAGTTAAAGCATTTAGAATAATAAGAGCAAATTAACTTTTGTTAATGTTCTCACTGATAAATTACACTTACATGTAATCTACTATCCATTGAGAATTTTGGAATTCAAAGAAAAAACACATAGTGAAAGTTTCATATGGAACTGGGGCAACTTTATTAATTGTTTCTTCTTTCTCAGAAATTCCTTTTAGTTCAGACTTATATCTAAGCAATATTTACTGAGTGCTTACTCTGTGACTGCAAAATGGGTTTCGTTTTAGGATTTTGTATTGTGTTTGCTTTTCTCTGTGCTATAGTAGAAGGCCCTGAGATAAGCCAGGAGACCTGGGTTCTAACCATGTTCAAGACCAAGCATAAGCCCCATCTCCTTGGAGACACTTCCCAGACCACCTAGCCTTTGGCCCAGTGAAGGTCAATCACAACCTTCTCTGGGTTTCCCATGTACTCTCCTCCATTCCTGAGCTTGCCGAACCATACTGCCTTATTTGCCCTTGTGGCTGCCTTTCCTACTGGATGGTGAGCTCCCGAAGAACAGAATGTCTTACTGATTCCTCTATCTCATCCAGGAAATGGCCCAGAGTACACTTTCAGTAACTGGCAATACTGCACAATGGTTAAGAACATGGACTTCAGGTTACAGAGACATAGTTTCAAACCTCAACTCTGCCACTTAGCTAAGTGGGTGAAATTGAACTTCAGTTCCCTCATCAGTACAGACCCAAAGAAAAGCCCTGAGACTGAAAATCTACCGCCGTAACTGATGGGCAGGGAAACACTAAAGAAAGAGGCTGGCCATTCCAATCTGGCAATTAACAGAGTTTATTCAGGGAAGCGTCACACACAAGGTGCATCTTTGGTGGCTGCAAGGCAAAGTGGATATCCTCTGCACTGCTTGATAGATGCCAAAGAATTATATAGAACAAGGTGGAGTGGTATGTGACCCGTCCCAGATATAAGGGAAAATGCCTGACATGCTTGCCTGGGTCAAGACAACAGCCTGTTCCAGGAACCAGCATGCTGTGGGGCATAGGGATGAGATAGTTTTATGCCAGGAGGAAAGTGTCGATTACAGTCAAAGTCTCTGAGGGGATTTACGAGAAGCAATCTCTGTTATGGTCCAGGTCTTGCTCATGGGTCTGGTGGTGGTCACGCCATGCGACAGTCACTCATTCACACCTCATCTATAAAGTGGGGATAATGATTCTTACTTTATAGCTTGTCGTGAAGATTCAATGAGAATGCAAGTACTATGCACGGTACTTGGCACCAACTAAGTACTCAGTCAAGAATATATAGATATAGAGTTTATCAATTATACCTCCATAAAGCTGAAATATATACAGAGATGTAGAGATAGATATAGAGATCTAGATCTGTGTGTATCTGCATACATAGGTAGCATATATAGTGTGTGACTTTGAATAAGTCCCTTAAACTCACAGTTCCATCAATTATTAAAGAAAGAGATTGCCCTTAACTTCAAAGGTGTCTTCAACCTCTAAAAAGTCTATACTTTTAAGTAAGTGGAAATATACTTTTAAACATAAGCAGAAATATCTCATAGACACCAAACAAAAAGGGGACTTCAGATTCAACCAACACAGAGTGAGGGTCTACAATGTGCTACTCACCATTCCAGCTAATGCTCCAGACAAGCTGTTTGGGCTCCAGGCAAGCTTTTGTGGTTAGAAATTTACAACATAACCTCCATTTGGTACATCACTTTCATGGTAAGTGCATTCTTACCAAAAATGTAAAAACTACTTTCCCCCCACTTAGAAATAAATTGTAATCAGAAAAAGTCATTTTCATGCAAAAGAATGAATTCGATGTGAAAAGGTTTTACTTTTCTCATTGTCCTCATGACTATCCTTTTTTTAGATTTTTAAAAAATACAAAAGGGATGTGTGAACACATTCTCATATTTGAAGATTCAAATAATATAGAAATATAGGAAGTAAAAGAATATGATTTCCCCCTTTATCCTTTATTCTGTTCTAACCCACTTCCCTTAGGTAACCACCACCCAAAATTCAGGGTGTATTTATCTTTTCTATATATTTATAAATTATTTGCATACATCTTTTTTTTTTTTTTAAATAAAAATTGGATTATACTATACTGATTTTGTTGTTAGGGGGTTCTATTTGTTTTTGTTTTCCACTTAACAAGTACTAAAGGTTTTCCATGTCCGTATTTCTAAGCATATCTATTTTATTTTTAATTGCTGCATACTATTTCATACTATTTCATATAGCTAACTAATGCTAAATGTAATGACCTCTCTACAGCACGGGACACAGCTGCTCACTTCCTCCTGGAAGCATTCTTTCCCTTGCTTCCAGGATACTACTCTCTCTTGATTTTACTTCCAACTCGGAGAGTGTTCTTTCTCATTTTTCTTTGATTTCCTTCACCTCTTTTTTTCTAAATATTGAGGGGCTCCAGGACTTGTCCTTTGGCTCATCTTTTCTCTCTCTATACTTACTATCTAGGTGATTTCATTGAGTCTTCTGTCCTTAAATACTATCTACATGCTGATAACCCTTTTATTTTATCTCCAGGTGGATCTCCCGTGAACTCTAGACTTGCAAATCTCTAATTCCATGCCTCCATCTTCATTTGGGTGTCTAAGAGACATTAAAAACTTAACATAGCAAAATTAAATTTGAAAGCTTGTTCCACCCTCAGTCTTCTCCATCTCAGAAAATGGCAACTGCGTTCTTTCAGTCTCTCAGGCCAAAAACTAGTTATCTAGTTTTTGAACTAGTTATCTAGTTCACTAGTTTGAACTAGTTAACTAGTTTGAACTAGTTATCTTCCTCTCTGTTTCATATCCCCACATCTATTATCTGCAAGTCCTATAAACTCTCTCAACTCTAGGACTTCTCAAGTCCTCCCGTACTATCACTCTTGTCTGCCTCTTGTACCTGCCCTGATCCATCTCTTGTTTAAATGATTACAGTAGCCTCCTGTTGAGTCTCCCTGCTTCTGGTCTTCCTAAAGCTATTCTAACACAATAGTTGGAATGATACTTTGAAAACTTACGTATGGTCAAAACCATACATGCAGTGGCTTCTAATCTTAGAGTAAAAGCCAAGATCCTTTAAAAGAGCTGCAATGCTGTACCTGATCTGGATTTCCTTCTTTTAAAATATGCCCTCTGTAATATTCTTTTCTCACTCACCCTGCTCCAACCACACTGGCTTTTTTTGCTGTTCCAAGAAAATACCAGGCATGTCCCTGCCATAGGGCTTTTGCACTTGCTGTTCCTTCAACCTAAGATGTTCCTCCCGCATTTAGTGCATAGTGACTGCCTCACTTCCTTCAGATTGCCACTCACAGGGTCCTTTCCGACCACCTTAACTAGATGAACAGCACCCCACCCTCACCTCCACCCTGGCACTCTGAGTGCCTCTCTAGCTTATGCTACAAGTTTTAATATGTAGTGTTCTCATTTTCTTTTCCTTGTAAATAATTTATGATTTCTATTTTGATTATTTCAACTCAATAGTTATTGAATTTTCATACTGATTTAAAAAAATTACTGTCCCTGTCTTGTTAATTTCTAAACGGTCAGGAAATGTGGCTTGCATTTTTTTTCCTACTGTTTAAAATGTATTGATATTTTCTTTGTGTAGTTGAGTGCATGATTTTTATGACTGTTCCATGTATATTTGACCCCCCTAAAAAGTGCAGTTTGTTAACACACCATTATATATGTCTAATTGTTCTAGGCACACTTCTCTATATCCTTTTCTTTTTATATTGTTGATTTATTTCTGAGAAATGTATGAAAGTCTCCCAATATGATTAGGAGTCTGTCCATTTTCCTACTATGTCTATCAGGTTTTGCTTTATATAACTGGAAACTGTGGTTAGGAAATTAAAGATGTTGACTATATTCTTGGTGAGTTGTATTTTTCACCCTGTGCCAGCTTCCACCTCGCTTATTTGCTCTTCAGCTATGTCTATTATGTAACTCAGTGTATTGATGAGGGTTTTAGGTGGATTTTTTTTCTTGACAAAATTTTTTAATATTATCAGTGCATTATTCCCAGTTTTATTTTTGATGGTCTTTGCCTTAAACACTATTCCATCTGGTGTTAAATTGCTACACCTGCTTTCTTTCAGTTAGCATTTGGTGTGCTTTTTTATTCTTAGATTTTCAACCTTTTAATCTAGTTTTGAGTTCAGTGTGTTTTTTGCAAACAGCATATAGTTAGTTGGCTTTGTTGCTTTCTTCAACCTAACAGACTCAATCTGTTAATACATTATATTTTAATGGTTACTTGAAAATCGTTAACTATCTTATTATTTTTTCTATGTATAGAGTTAACTTCCGAGTCCTCTAGTTATTTCTTTTCCTTGATAACAATGATTCTCTCAAATCTCTCAGAAAATAGTAACTATATATATTCTAAAGTATTCATCTGGCTACTAGAATTAGTTTCCTTAAGAATAAGTATCCCTATAGGTAAATCTGGTGCCTCTCTTTCATGGCCTCACTTTCTCAAATGTTCGGTGATTCTTAGTTGTGTGTTCACTTTTATATTTGAGAATCCGTATTTTCCTGCATGTTCTGCTTACTGAAGTTTTCTTCTGACAACTGTGGAGGAGAAGCGGTATGTGCTGCTGAGGGGTAGAAGGCCAGCCCCAGTGCCAGACTTGCAGCCCCAAGAAGGGCTCAACACAGGAAAGGGGGAGGGGCTGCCTCCCAACTGATCTTCCTAATATTTACCTCAGGGGCCCTCCTGCTTCTCATTTCTGTTGAATCTGAGCTCCGAATGTGTGTATTTTGGGTTAGTGGTTTCATTTGGTCATTTATCACTCTAGATATGGTCCCATCTGCTTTTTGATTTTTAGGAATTTTAGGAATTCCTTAAGATCATTTACGCTGATGAAAATTTCTACTATTTTCTGGAACCATTATTGATTTGGTCACTTTAAAAGTTTCTTGTCATTTTATGGGTTTTGGAATTAAAGGGAGGTTAAAATGCTGATCCATTCTTCATTATACATCCATCTCACACTCCTCTTCCTCCCTCCCTCCCTTCTTCCTCTCCTTCTCTCCTTCCTACCTTCCCACCGTCCTGCCTTTCTTCCTTTCTTCCCATGGGAGGAAAGATGAAAATGCAGAAAGATACTATGAGTTCTTGTGTCTTTTGCAGGTAAGTGGTCACTCTGCTTGCAGAAAGTAGTGGTTCAGCTTGCATGTAGCCTGCCCCACTGAGGCTAAATGCCCCTCCTGGGCTGGTCCTGAAGCCATAAATTAGAAGCTCCTCAGACAGAACTGTCCTAGCAGATCCATTCACCTTCCTGCAGCTGCAGGGAGACAGCAGCCTGAGACACCAAAGGCTGTGAGGAAGGGGGAGAGCAGAGGCCGAGGAATGGTTGGAAGGGTTGTGGAGAGGTTCCTGTGGAATGGCCTCCAGGAGGTAAGGGGCACCTTTAGGAGAAGGAAAGGAGTTTTAATCATCCCAGTCCTTTTTGAAAACCCAGCTCAGGTGCTACCTTCTCTGAGGAAGGCTGGCCCCCTCGGTGCCCTCCCAGCCTCCCGGCCAGCACCTGCCGCACACTCCCCGACTAGGAATTTCCCAGGGAAGGGAAGGGACTGTGTTTGCAGCATCTTCGTGCTCCCCTCAGTAGATACTGGTTAAATTGTAAGCACTTGAAAGTATCCAAATTCTGTTTGCTCTGCCTGCTCTAGTCTCTCAAGTCTCCATAGCATTTCAGCTCATTCCTCGTTCAGATTAGAATAACACCATTGCCCCTCTTTGTAGATAATTTGACTCAAATTATAATCCAGCCTCAAATTAGTGCTGCCTCCTCCACCTCCTTGGTTCCATAGGCACCATTTCTATCATCGGACCCTGAGTTTTCCTTCTTTTCTCTTTGCTGAAAAGCTACTGAACCCTGAGGAGATTCCAATTTTCCGATACATGAATGGGGATGACCTGCTGCTGCTGGCCAGTTTAATAAAGATTCGACGCCTATTTCATAAACTTGAAGGATGTGTGAATTTTCCCTCCAGCCAAGTTTGGGAAAAATTTAAGCAACCTTCCTACCTTTCTTCACTTTCTCTAAAACTAATTGCCCTTTGTCACAATTCTGGTATAAAGCAAGATACAAAAACAGCAATAGCAGCTATAATAAATGAAAAACTTTAACTAAGATTGATGGTACTTTCAGTTGTTTTGTTGTTGTTTTTTTAGAAGGGGGTGTGTGTGAGAGAGTTCAAGAAACGTGTGTAAAATGACCAGGAAAGACCAAGAAATGCACTTTATTACAAATTTAGAGAACATCTTGAGTCATCACTGGTTTACATTCTTGGTCGGAAAACTAAACAACTCACTTTCAGGACACCAGAGAATGAGCAAATCAGCAAAAGTATCTAGATCAATTAGAGTTCTATCAGGAAAACAGAAAGCAGGAAGGGATTAGACGCTTCCAACACCATCCAAAAGGATGGGCATGTGAAGGTCAAGAAAAACCCTGCTGGCTTTCAGAAAATCTGCAAGTGAAGGAATCTAAGGAAGCCAGGGAGCCAACAGCACCAAGGTGAGAGAGTGGCAAGAGCTTTTCTGGAAGAGCTGCAGCCTCACATAAGAATGAAGGAATAACAAGAAATTGCCATCTACCTAAATATCCACCCCTCCTGCCAAAGATGAATGATGGCTGCTGCTTCTCTCTCACTTTGCAAACCTCAGGCAGGTGCCTCTCACTGGAACCGGCTGGCAAGAGATTATCTCCCCTTCGAAGGAGAGAAAGGAGAGATGTTGCTGAATCTTCAAGGACAGCCCAGCACAGTTTCTTCTGCTCAATGATAAAGTTGCTTTAGAGCAGAAAGCAGAGTTGAGAGCTGGAGGTGGAGAACCCTAAAGGTGTCCTTGGAGCACCCGAACACTGATTCTCCGAGCTTCCCTGGATTTCACAGTTCCTTTTTCTTTTTCTTTTTTCTTTTTTAATATTACAATAGTTTTATTGGAATGGAATGACCACATATAGCCTAAAGCTATCATTCACCTTTATTTTTATTTATTTATTTTTAAGTATAATCGACATACATTATTATAAAAGTTTCAGTGTATAACATAGTGATTCAACATTAACATACATACTTTGCAAAATGATCACCACAATCAGTCTAGTAACCACTTGTCACCATGCATAGTCATATTATCAACTCTATTCCCTATGCTGTAAATTACATCCCTGTGACTTATTTTATAACTTCAAGTATGTACCCCTTTTCTGCCCAACTGTTCTTTGGAAGAGGGAGAAATTTGGTGCTAATGCACAGCAAAAGAGATTAACTCTATCAACCATTCACCACTTAGTGTGAAGTACTAAATCATATGATTTTCCTCCTAAGAGCCAACTAAGGAAGAAAAAGGAGGGAATGGAAGTGAAGGAAGTGGAAGCGTGGGGTATTCAGGCAAGGCTGAGTGCTGTGCAGCAGGAAGTTGGAACTAACAAAGAAGTAGCTGAGCTCCTGGGAGAAGGGGCCTGATTCTTGTTATTAACCCATTCATCGCCTTTTATGTTGTTGCCATTGGTTAGCTTGCTTTATAGGAACTGTGTTAATCCTGAAGATTCATTTCTATTATTTTTTTCATGTTCACTCTTGCTAATCACCACTGCTGTCTTTGTGTAAAAAAGGTTCTTAGACTCACATCTTAGTCGATGCTAACTCTCATTTTTATTTTTGCCTTTTGCTTCTTCCTTTTCACTGATGAGTGACCTTTTAGTTTCTATAAGTATGATAGAAATATTAAATTAATTGAGCTAATACATTCAGTATACCTCTGAAAAATAGCACATAACAGTACAACAAGTAACAATCACAACAAAGCCCTAACTGAATGTTTTTGCACATCAGTAAAAACCATTTTTGGTGTGCTGAGCCCAAAGTAGATACTGAATAAGGCCTTGATTAATTGGAGATAGACAGGATGAGATGACATCTTATACCATCGTGCTTCTTGTTTAATGCCAGAATGTTTAGAATGATCTTTACTTTTAAAAATGATAATTGATTACATGTTATAAATTTGTGTTGCTGCTCTTAAAATTGATTAAAAAAATGTTTCCAAGTGAAAAATATTTATACCTATTTACTATCTATCTATTAGGGTCATATTTCAAGGCAGTTTATTTAAGAGACTGAGTTGTTAAAAATAACAATAATGATAAATCTTATTTTGAGCACCTATATATACCAAAAGTGGGTTGAGGTATGCCATAGATTTTATCATCAATATCTGCTTTTCCATATGCCTATTTTAGGTCATCTCAGTTTTGAATAATCCAGTCTGCTAATTCATGGTTTTTTGGTTTTTTTTTACCTTCCACAATAAAAATCTCTTCAAAATATTAAACTATTCTAGTCATAAAGCTTTCTAATAGTAATATTGCATAAATTGAGAGAAAAGAAAATACTTTAAAAGTGTAGGGTTTTCAGATGTAAATATTAATGAAATTATTGATGTATAAAGCTTAAGGCAGTACAACAAATTCTTGTCTCCTTTTATCCCTGATCTCAGGAATATAACTTTTATTTTTATTTTGCTTGTGCATATTTTAGGTTTTATACATACATTTTTGGACAGATAAAATGGTCATCTTTTGAGAGGATACACATATGCACTTCAATGTCACTGATGAGGAAAGAAATTAAAACTTTTTGCTCCAGGTAAAGTTGGCAACAGAGCGTCTTCAGCAAAGCCTCACTGGGACTGTGACGTAAAAGGCATGTCCAGTATATTAGCTTATGCAGGTCTCTTACAGTATATGAACAAAATATTTTGAAGTAAATTTCATTGGTAGCTTTTTCTGCTAACAAAAGTAATGCCAACTCATTGTAAAATATCTGGGAATTACAGAAAAATATGAAGTACAAAGATTTCAAAAGACTCATCATCCCACTACACAGAGATAGTCATCTCTAATACCGTGCTCTATTTCTTTCCGATCCTCTCTCAGTATTTACCTATGGGTGTGTTACTGAAAAAAAAAAAAAAAATTCAAGCAAGAAATTAGTCATTGCTAATAAGAATTTTGCAAGGAAGAAAACTGAATTTCTACTCCCCAAAGAAAGTTAAACCCTATTAGAGAACTACAAAATAAGCCAAATAAATTAAATGCATATTATTTCTTAGTAAACTGGAAATAAATATCTTGTGGAACTGTTAATATTTCCATTTTCACCGGTAAATTTACTATCAGTTATAAAAAATGAATGAATAAATGAAGCAAAAGCTTTTAGAGTCTAAATTGTTTTAACAGATGTAGTTAAATAAAATTGGTAACATTCGGGATGCCAATCACATATTTAGAAGCAAATGTTATAATTTAATAATAATTAAAAAACACAAAAATATAATGTATCTTTGTCCAACGATGTTAGAAAATACACAAAAGGGCAATTTAAAATAGATTTTACTTCAAGTAAGTTATCATGACCATTCTATTGTTTCATTTTCCTGCAAGACAACAAATATTATATTTGTTTATGCTCTACCCTATTCCAGAAACAATGTAAGGAATCTTTTAGGAATAGATTTAATATAGAAAAATAAAATAATTTTAAAATAGTGAAGATAATTGAGGCAATAGGAAAATAATATGAAATGAGGAGTAAAATTGTTTCCAAAATACATCCCACAAAGCCTAAACCCTTGGTGTAAAATTGGCACAAGATGATCTCTAATGAAAAGGTAAGCAATAAGCTAGTGGAGCCTCTCAAAAGACACAAGGGAGTGTCTGTATCAGTTTTTCTCTTATTGACACAGAGGTAAGTCCAGGATTTAGGAATACCTTGTGTGAGCCAAACTGGTAAAGTGAAAGCAGGTGATAAAAAGACTATGCGTGTCCACAGCCAAAAAAGAACCACCGAAGTTTCTCTCTCACACCCGTGGTGACCCAGCATTAGACAATGTGCAGAGGAGTCTGGAGAAAACAGCGCTGCTGTTCACATCCATCCACCTTTTACATACTACTCTACAAGACTGGCACTGGGAAATGAAAATAACAGTGTAACACCCATACAGACTTCAGAGATGATGCCCAAATGTGTCCTTTCCCAAATAACACAGAGGCTTCCTCTGTGTTAAATTATTAAGCAAAGGGACAACACACTGGAAACAACCTCTCGCTCTCTTGTTCATGTAAAAATACATTATCACCTGACAAAAAAAACGAATGAGTGAATGAATGAAGTGAAATTTCTACCAAGGATATACATGGCCATGAAGGAAATCCTGGGTGTCTCTTTGCTGCGTATTCGTGCTTAATTGTGTGAGTTGTGAAAAGACTGAAAATGACATCTCAAAGCTGAGCTTCCACCTCAGTCCATCTGTGGTAAACCTGATTTTCTCTGGAGTTGAACTGCCACTGATTACAAATTTCTATCAAAAACGTGGCTAGCACTCTACATAAACTGAATATGTTAATAATCGGGTTTTCATTCTGGTCTAAAGTTCACTGCATTCATTTATTCATCTGTTTAATAAACATTAGTTCAATGCCTACTTTATGCCAAGCACTACTGATGCAAAGCTAAAAATCTTAGTTCCCTCTTTTCAGGAAAAAAGAGATGCAAAAAAAGATCATGACAAAACAATGAGGTAAATGCAGTGATAGAAAGAAGCACAGGGAGCACAAAAAGAGAGCACCTATCTCAGCTGGCCACCAGAGGTCACGTGGGTGGAGGGAGGAGAACACAAATGCAGCAAGTGAATCAACAGACTAGTCTCAGAATAATCAGAGAATTTTCTCTCAAAACAAACACGTAATCCTTGAGTGGGCCAACTAGATGCAGGAATCACAAGTGGCTCAAGTGATGCCCGCAAAGTCACAAATACCTAGACAATGAGCGAATGAACAAACATATATGCTCAGCCCTTTGAAGTTTCCTACACCTTCAGGTTAGCAGAAGGCCAGAGATGACTCAGGCAAATCCCACCTTTGACCAAGCACTTACAGAAGCCAAAAGCCTCTAGAAAGATAGAGAAAGAAGGACAGGGGTCACAGGTTTCATTCTAGGCGTGGAGGACAGAGGGGTATGACCTGGTTCAGTCCAAAGAGGAAGGTTCAACTGTGGATAGAGTGAATGCATGATATTGGGACAGCTCAAGAAACAGATAGGATGCTATCAGGATCCTCTACATTCACTCTAATCTATATACCAGCGCTCAGCAAAACGCTGGGATGGTGAATGTAAGAGAAGTGATAGGAAAGGGTAACAAGCTTTCTGAGTAGAGAAGGCATCCATGTGCACATTCATTCATCTAATAAAAATTCAACACTTGCAAGGCATTGTACATGGCCCTCATGGAATTCACCTTCCAGTGAGAGAAACAACAAAGCAAGTAATTTCAGATTGTGATAAATGCAATGAAAAAGCCAAAGAGAATAATATGAATGAGTGCTATGGGGTAAATGGGAAGATAAGTAGGGGACTACCTTATATTATGTGGTCAGAGAAAGCCTCTCAGAGGAGCCAGTATGTAAAGGTGAAAAGAAATGAGTCATATAATGGACTGGGAAAAGAGTATTCCAGGCGGAGAAAGCATCAAGTTCTGAGGAGAAAATGAGTTCGCCTGCATGTTCCAGTGATAGAAGGCAGGCCACTGTGACTGAGGGCAAGTGTGGTACCAGGAGAGGCTGCCCAGGTAGGAGGAAGCCAGATAAGGTGAGCTGTGTGTGCCATAGTAAGGACTTTGGATTTTATTCCACAGATGCTTGTCCTTCTCTTCAAGGGGTGCCAATTTCCAAAGCCTGCAGAGTTGGTCTA